CTTGATGATCGTCGGGGACGTCGGTGTGAACGTCGACGACGGGGACTTCGATGGACGGAGATTGGACGTTTGTCGTGCCTCCGTGACGAAGAGCGGTGGCGGTGGGAGCGAGATCTCCGAGAGAATCGTTGTTGAGGCTGTGGGTGTTCAACAAGTGGTGGAGGATGACTAATATTGGGTGGAGGCATGGGAACTGGTGGAATTGGTGTTGGAGTGAAGTGGGTTTGACGCTCTTGAGTCTTTTCCACCATGGCTTGAAGACTAGATTCAACAGTGTTCTTCATCTGTTGCATAATCTCATCAGGATTAAAGCATGAAGCAGGTCCAGATTGCGTGGCTGGATTGGCCACGGGTGCCGGTGGATCTGGTGCCTGAGGTGCTGCTGGCTGTGGTGTGGAATGGAATGGAGCAGACGAAGGTTGGACAGTCTGTGGAGGTTGATGGAATGGGAGGAGTTGTTGGAGGGGATTGATATGAGATTGAGCCTGTGAGTGAAGGTGTTGGTTGAGCATCGCGTTCTGTTGTTGGAGAGCTGAGATCTGCGCCTGAGTCTGAGCTTGAGACTGCTGACCCGTTAGATCACCTCCACAAAATTGGCCAGGGAATCCCATCGACTGAGGATTCCATCCAAAGTTCCACATCGATTCAGGGGCGTTGGGAAAGCGTCCCGGGAACATGGCACGAAAGTCGGGTTAAATAATTGAAACAAAAATTACTTTACTTCGTGTGATCCCCACCGTGACATTTTTACATTTTCTTACTGGCAAATCTTCTGGCATTCTATCTGACATATCTTCTGGCATTCTATCTGGCAAATCTTCTGGCATTCTATCTGGCAAATCTTCTGGCATTCTATCTGGCATATCTTCTGGCATTCTATCTGACATATCTTCTGGCATTCTATCTGGCATATCTTCTGGCATATATTCTGACATATCTTCTGGCATTCTATCTGGCATATCTTCTGGCATATTATCTATATCTTCTGGCATATCTTCTGGCATATCTTCTGGCATATCTTCTGGCATATCTATCTGGCATATCTTCTGGCATATCTTTTGGCATATTATCTATCTGGCAAATCTTCTGGCATATGTTCTGGCATATCTTTTGGCATTCTATCTGGCATATCTTCTGGCATATTATCTGGCAAATCTTCTGGGATTCTATCTGGCATATCTTGTGTCATTCTATCTGACATTCATCTTCTGGCATTCTATCTGGCATTCTACATATCTGGCATATCTTCTGGCATATCTTCTGGCTTTCTATCTGGCATAACATGAGGTCCGGCAGGGAACACTTGGCGTGGATACTCGCGGTTGAGGTCCGGCAGGGAACACTGGGCGTGGATGGTCGTGGTTGAGGTCCGGCAGGGAACACTGATGGTCGTGGTTGAGGTCCGGCAGGGAACACTGGGCGTGGATGGTCGTGGTTGAGGTCCGGCAGGGAACACTGGGCGTGGATGGTCGTGGTTGAGGTCCGACAGAGAACACTGTGCGTCGAGGGTCGCAGTTGAGCAGGAGGACGAGGATGACGAGGAGGACGAGGAGGACGAGGAGGACGAGGAGGAGGAGGAGGAGAGGAGGAGGAGGAGGAGAAGGAGGAGGAGGAGGCAACTGACATAAAATCTAACAACCCTCACCTGGCAGGTGGGGAACAATATCACTTGATACATCCACACTGCATGCAGAATTCGTGATAAGGCTCAAGGCCCTCGGCTTTCACGTCACCCCTATCGACAGCTTACGCTGTCAACCCCTGAATTACGTGCACAATTGAACCTCACCAGAACCAAAAGAAAAAAGACCACACCTAAAGTCGTGTGCCTGCCTGAACATTCCATCATGATGCACTGATAATGCAGGTTTGTCAAGCTCTCGAGCAGAAGTGAAAAGGAAAAGAAAGGATGTTGTCGTGGCTTCCAGCTATGCAAAAGGCTACAGGTGGCTGAAAAATGAAGAGGCCAGGCACTGCAGCACACTGTTCAACACTCACTCGACCGACGTGCGAGACACAAAAAATGGCCAGCTGTTGCACTTTACTTAAATGAATTACTAATTCAAAAGTGTAAATTCAGACATCAGGTCGTTGCATCCACACTTTGCTTAGACAAGCATTCCCCGAAGGGTTCATGCCACCTTGACGAATCCAGCATGAATCACACACTTGCTCAGAAACATCTTTGCGAATTCTGATGTGGAATGCATCGTATGTGCAAAAAACACTTCAATTAAACCTGACAGGATTGGTTGGATGACCAGAAGTGAGAAACTGTGCGAAGTAAATCGTTCTACGTCCTTGCTAGATGAATCAAACCGTTCTGATGCAGCTCGATCTTCCTCAATTGCATTGGAAAATCAGATTGCGAAAACCGTGCAAACGAGGAAAAAAGAAAACAAATTGTTTGAAAACGGCATGGTGGTTCTTGGGTTGGCCACGTCCCATTTCTGAAATTGAAGTAAAATGAGAATGAAAGCAGGTACATGCAGTTGATCAGACTGCATATCTTCTCCAAACATCAGTAGCTTCGTTGGCCACGGACTGATGAATGGAGCCGTGGCCCCCTGCTGGAAATAACCCTTGTTGTCAAAAACATGAAACAGGAAAGGACATAAGTATTCAAGAGGAAAAACTCGAGCAATAGAAGCTTTACATCTCTTCAGATGTCTCACACACACACTTGCTCAGAACTGCCGTTGCAAATTTTGTTGTGGAATACATCTGACGTGCAAAACACCAACAACAACTAACACGATGAAATGACCTAAAAATATATAATATATATGTAATCACAGTCGACGTTGACCGTATAAAACAACAGCGAAAAAATATATGTCCCCCCAGCTGCGACTTATATGCGCCCAGGGGCGGGACTATACATATATATATATAATGCAGGCACGTTTTCACAGGAACATTGCAGCATCTTCGTTGGCCGCTGACTGCAATGTTCCCCAGCGGCCCCCTGCAATAATTAGAAGTTTTACATCTATTCAGATGGTACACACACACACTGCTGCAGCAGGGTGGGTGAAATGAAATTGAGAATGAAATGGACATGACCATGAAATGACAAGCTACTTAACCGGAACACGAGACGGGGAACGCAAAAGAGGACGGAAAAAAGGAGCACACCAACACCAACACACCTAGCCCAGAACGGGCAAACCCTGAAAGGGCAAGGGAAAAGAAAATTCTGACGGACGACGGACCAAACAGCGACCAAAGGAGGGGGGGGCGGACGGAAGCGCCTGACACAACCTACAAGGCGAGAGCCAAACCTACCTCGGCACGCGAAGAACCCCAACCTGACCTAACACGGGAGCACGCATGAGATAGGGGACCAATGGGAACTAGTTAATGAAAAATGATGCATCCAACAACCAGTGCAAAGGATCGTGATCAGGCTCAAAGGCCCTCGGTGCACAATTGAACCTCACCAGAGTAACCAAAAAGAAAGATACACCTGAAAGACATGTCCTGATACCTGAATGTCAAAAACAAAAATGGTGAAGCCCAAAACAGAGGCACGTTGTTTCAACACTCGACCGATAGGTGAAAAGCTGAAAAAAGGCCATCTGTTTCACTTTACTTAAACAAATTACTAAATTAAAACTGTAAATTCAGAGAAAAAAAGGTGAGGCCCGGCACGGCGGCCAACTGTTCAGCACACACTCGACCGACAAGGTGAAAATCGAAAAATGGCCAGCTGTTTCGCTACTTAATCGAATTACTAGGTTGAAAAATGTAAATTCAGCAATCAGGTCGAAGGATCGGAATTCCTACCTAGACAGGTATTCCCCGAAGGGATCATGCCACCTTGACGAATCCAGCATGAGTCACACACTTGCTCAGAACTGTCGTTGCGAATTTTGTTGTGGAATACATCTGACGTGCAAAACACCAACAACAACTAGCACGATGAAATGACCTAAAAATATATAATATATATGTAATCACAGTCGTCGTTGACCGTATAAAACAACAGCGAAAAAATATGTCCCCCCAGCTGCGACTTATATGCGCCCAGGGGCGGGACTATACATATATATATATAATGCAGGCACGTTTTCACAGGAACATTGCAGCATCTTCGTTGGCCGCTGACTGCAATGTTCCCCAGCGGCCCCCTGCAATAATTAGAAGTTTTACATCTATTCAGATGGTACACACACACATCAATACGGGCAATGTACGACATCGCATCATACCAAGCAATGCTGGATCACACCACAGCATTACATCACGGTGTGTACTCTGCATCTGCATTGCATTACGAAATATCGCGTCTTGGGCATTACTTGCACTGCACTGCAGCTCACTGGACTTTGTTTCATTTCACTGGGTTACGCTGCATCACATTGCACCACCTTTTATGGAGGTGCAACATGCGGGACATTAGTTTGAGTTGTGGTGCATTAAACTGAATTGCAGTACGTTCACACAGGACATATCAGAACACCTTCTTTAGATAATGTAAAACAAAACAGAATAACATCACACACCAGCAAAAACACACAGTACGTTCTATGTACAGCATGCAACAATGATGTGTGCGCGAAATACATTATCATTGTTTTCATACATGCAATTAGGTGACTATCTGACCATGATATTATCATGTGCAACTGGAAATGACAGGGGAAGACTCTCGGTGACTTTTCGATGCGTGCAAGTCCGCATTTGGCAGGTCATGTGTTTTAGTCATAAAGCCTAGATGGCCGAATGGCTGCCTGCAAAAGGCAAGGCACTCGACCCCCGGAACCGATAAGGTGCGACTTTGCGCTTGGGTCGATTATGAGAAAGCTCTGAGCAACAAGTGCAGCAAGGCAACGAGCAATGCTAAGGCAACGAGCAATGCTTGATTGAGCCCAGGCAGCTTGCGTCTGTTTTTTAGTTTTTTAGGAAGCAACGCACACAGAGTTCGGCAAGATCCCACAACTGTTGCGCATATTTGCTGAAGGTGGTGCCAACTGCAGGATGGGGCACTAACTCTTCATTTTGGCAATCCGATGTCAGTTGTCCGACAGGAGGTGAGACAAATCATCAAGAGGAAGCGAGTGTCGCACGACTTGCCTCAGCTGATACCAAACCGATCAAACCGCGTATCGAAGCCTCGCAAGTACCAAGGTCTCAGTGCCTTGCAAGACATTGAGACAAAATGTGCTGCTTGAGAAGTACCACCCCGTGGGCCCGTGACCCAGTGAGCCCGTGATTGGTGTCTCTCTATTTCTCGCTATTTCTCTATATTGGCTTTGGGGGGGAAGTCTGGCCTCTTGGCTTCTGCAAATGTGTTTTTGCCGGTCTTCAAAGCCTGCGTCTTGTTTTTTGGTTTGGAAAGTCCACGGAACATGTCATGTCAAGAAGGCGAGCCGGCGGCGAGCCCTTCCTTAGCCTCGTGTCCGATACAACTTCTATACCTGTGCTTCCAACATCAAAAAGCCATTGCACATCTCCCTGTGCTCCTCATTGCTCCTTAAGAATGACGCCTCTCACCATGCTGGTCGAGCTGCGCTCTGCATGATCACCAGCTTTTCGACAAATAATTGCACACATGTAAGTATGATAAATCCATATTTAGGTACGCTATTATATATAGATATGTATACATAATATATATATATATATTAAGTAACAGGCAGATAGAATATTCAAAATTTCATTGATTTGAAAATAACACACAGAATAATGCAAAATTTATGGCTGGGTAAATTTTACACATAGAATTATCCAAGACCTAAAATATATAATTTTAGGGAAATCAACTTTAAAAGCATCATTTTTCCTGTGTTTTACCAGTGTTTTCAACAGATAGAATAATAACCTATTTTCCAGACCCCGTCGACCCCTCATCTCCTCAATTCCCAAAGCAGCAGTCAACATTGCTGGCACACTACAACAACTCAACTTTGAATTTTTCCATCCACTCCATATGGAACTCATGTACAGACATACTCAACAAATAATACATTCACTCATAATTGATTGGCTGGCTAATATACCACTTATTGCAATCAAAATAGTACAAAAGATTGGCTGGAGCCAGCAAAGCTGGCACCCCATGTAGCTGGAATATTCTATCTGTTGATTTTGAATCATTTTGCATATTAAAACATACAGCAAAATGTGGTCGATTTACGTTCTATCCGAAAAACCACCGCAAACCAACATCAACATGAAACATGCACGCACACACACACACACCTGACCATCAAACATAGTGCATCGAATGTTCAGTTGCAATGCTTTCGACACCCATCGACACCCACAGACGGACGATGCTCTACACAAACACAGCCTTTGCCCCTGACAAACGCATATAGTGCTATGGAAACAGACGATGTGAACAGAAACAACTGCAACTTACTATGTGTTTCTCCTTCGGTTGGCGTGAATGTATGTTTTATCCATGCTTGGTTCAAACAATAATGTTTGGAAATATGTCTACCCCATGTGGACACCAACAGACAGAACAGAATAGTCAATCAAAAATAGATTAATACAGAAACTATGATAAATGATAACTTTGGAAAAAAACGAATCAAATCTAAGTTTCCAGAAAATCATTTGCACGTTTGGAAACAAATTCATTCACTCATAATTTATTGACTGGCTTGTATGCCACTTCTTTCAATCAAAACGGTACAAAAGATTGGCTGGAGCCAGCAAAGCTGGCACTCCATGTAGCTGGAATAGTCTATCTGTTGATTTTGAATTATTTTGCAAATTGAAACATACAGCAAAATGTGGTTGATTAACGTCCTCTTATCAAACAATTTGAAAAACTCTCGCTAAACGCAAAACCAACATGAAACATGCACACACACACACACCTAACCCTTGCTAACCATGCCTCATCAGACATAGCGCATCGAATGTTCAGTTGCAATGCTTTCGACACCCATCGACACCCACAGACGGACGATGCTCTACACAAACACAACCTTTGCCCCTGACAAATGCATATAGTGCTATGGAAACACACGATGTGAACAGAAACAACTGCAACTTACTATATGACGGTTTGTCAAAATGTCTGTTCCCGGTTTTGTTGATAAATCGCAATTCCATGCGTGCCGCCTCATGTTTGCCTTTAAAAAACATGACCTACCTTGATGACGTGAAAACGTGGAAATTCTTCGTTACCTTTGGAAATCTTTCTAAAACCACAGGAATCGGCTAACGCACGTCGGTTTTCATTCGCTGTCGCTGGTACTATCTCCTGAACTGTGTGTCTCTGTGCGTGTGCGCCTCTCTGAATGCAATATGCTTCTTGACATGCCTCCTGATCAACGCTGTTTCCTTACTGTAAGCTACCAAAGCGTGAACATGGCTGTGCCTCTGAATGGGCTGCGGGTGGACCGGGGCATGTATTTGCAATTTTCGCTAGCGCGTTGCTAGCGGCAATCTAGCGCGTAAAATACGTAAAAAAAATCGAAAATTTGGGAATATGTGGAAACTGACAGACTTGTAAGAAAAGCTGGCAAGACATTCACGACATGGAGGCCATGGCTGTCAATCAAACCTAGCGCAAACCTAGCGGGTTTGCTAGCGCTGCCTTGCAGAATTGCTGAATTTAGTTGCGTGCCGCCTCATAACGAAGAGGAAAAAACAGTAGACCCAGATGAATTATCAACAACCAATACTAAACTTCTAAACAACTATTTTTGACAAATGGTCATATGTTTCTCCTTCGGTTGGCGTGAATGTATGTTTTATCCATGCTTGCTTCAAACAATAATGTTCGGAAATATGTCTACCCATGTGGACACCAACAGATAGAACAGTCCAAAGTCAATCAAAAGATATATAGATTAATACAGAAACTATGATAAACGATAAATTTGGGGGAAAAAAACGAATCAAATTTATTTTTTCCAGAAAATCGGCACGTTTGGAAACAAATTCATTCACTCATAATTTACTGACTGGCTTGCATGCCACTCATTGCAATCAAAACGGTACAAAAGATTGGCTGGAGCCAGCAAAGCTGGCACCCCATGTAGCTGGAATATTCTATCTGTTGATTTTGAATCATTTTGCATATTAAAACATACAGCAAAATGTGGTCGATTTACGTTCTTTCCGAAAAACCACCGCAAACCAACATCAACATGAAACATGCACGCACGCACACACACACACACCTAACCATCAGACATACTGCATCGAATGGTCAGTTGCAATGCTTTCTACACCCATCGACACCCACAGACGGACGATGCTCTACACAAACACAGCCTTCGCCCCTGACAAATGCATATAGTGCTATGGAAACAGACGATGTGAACAGAAACAACTGCAACTTACCATGTGTTTCTCCTTCGGTTGGGGTGAATGTATGTTTTATCCATGCTTGGTTCAAACAATAATGTTTGGAAATATGTCTACCCCATGTGGACACCAACAGACAGAACAGAAAGTCAATCAAAAGATAGATTAATACAGAAACTATGATAAATGATAACTTTGGAAAAAAAACGAATCAAGTCTAAGTTTTCAGAAAATCATTTGCATGTTTGGAAATAAATTCATTCACTCATATTTTATTGACTGGCTTGTATGCCACTTCTTTCAATCAAAACGGTACAAAAGATTGGCTGGAGCCAGCAAAGCTGGCACTCCATATAGCTGGAATATTCTATCTGTTGATTTTGAATTATTTTGCAAATTGGAACATACAGCAAAATGTGGTTGATTAACGTCCTCTTATCAAACAATTTGAAAAACTCTCGCAAAACGCAAAACCAACATGAAACATGCTCACACACACACACACACCTAACCCTTGCTAACCTTGACTCATCAGACGTAGTCAATCGAATGTTAAGTTGCAATGCTTTCGACACCCATCGACACCCACAGACGGACGATGCTCTACACAAACACAACCTTTGCCCCTGACAAATGCATATAGTGCTATGGAAACAGATGATGTGAACAGAAACAACTGCAACTTACTATGTGTTTCTCCTTCGGTTGGGGTGAATGTATGTTTTATCCATGCTTGCTTCAAACAATAATGTTCGGAAATATGTCTACCCATGTGGACACCAACAGACAGAACAGAAAGTCAATCAAAAGATAGATTAATACAGAAACTATGATAAACGATAAATTTGGGAAAAAAAACGAATCAAATTTATTTTTCTCCAGAAAATCATCGGCACGTTTGGAAACAAATTCATTCACTCATAATTTATTGACTGGCTTGTGTGCCACTCATTGCAATCAAAACGGTACAAAAGATTGGCTGGAGCCAGCAAAGCTGGCACTCCATGTAGCTGGAATATTCTATCTGTTGATTTTGAATCATTTTTCATTCAAAATATGGAACATATAATATATTCGATAAACATCCTGTTTGTCAAATTGAAACATGCACACACACACACCTAACCCTTGCTAACCTTGACTCATCAGACGTAGTGCATCGAATGTTCAGTTGCAATGCTTTCGACACCCATCGACACCCACAGACGGACGATGCTCTACACAAATACAGCCTTGGCCTTTGCACCTGACAAATGCATAGTGCTATGGAAACACACGATGTGAACAGAAACAACTGCAACTTATGTGTGGTTCATTGACAATGTACGGAAATAGCTGTACCCTTGGGGAAATCAACAGATAGAATAGTCCAGCAGATAAATCATACAAAAAATTGCAAAAATCATGATAAATGCGAATTTGGTCAAAGTTTCCGGAAAATCATTGATGCCTCTGAAAACCCTATATATATATATATACACGGATTAACAGATAGAATATTCAATACTGCAACGAAACCTCAAAAACTATTCTATCTGCGAGTTATACTGTCAACGTGTTTTTCTGCTATTTTTTTCATTTTTAACTTACCCGAAAAAGTCATTGATTTTATCTATATGCCAGTTACTGTATATATATATATATACATACACATGGATATATGTATATACATGGTACAGTCCCTCAGTGAATAGCAGTTACAGCCTACAAGTGTGCCTTTTGTTGCCGGATGGGGCTTGAAAGGGTATCTTTTTTAGAGTGTTCAATGCATCAAAGTTTGTGTCCGGCCACTCTTTGGGATTTGCTCAGCAATATCAAGAAAGCAAGGCGTCAAAACATCATGCTTGGATCACTTCAGATAATCTCAGGAGTAACAAAACCAATCCCCTTTGTGGCACTGAGCTGACTCCGGTGAGAAACAAGGATCCCAATCTCACAACATGTAATAAAATCCCAAAAGAGAACTAATCATTCAATAACGGCCCACAACTACGCGGGGAATCTCCTTTTCTCAAAACCCTTCGTTGGCGGAGAACCACGACCGGGGAACCTACACAAGCAACCCTGCCCATGTAAACCCTACATAAGCTGTCCAGCCCATGCAGAAAACAATGATCAAATCAAATACCCCCACAATCGCAACGAACTCCATCCCCCTAAAGCGGCGGGAGGGCGGGGTTCAAAAAGAAACAACAGCACCAGCCACACTGGGCGCAAAGTCACACAAGCACCACACGAACGACACAACAAACTGTCGAACATGAGCTGGCTGATGCTGGAGAACTTCAACAAACAATTTTGGATACAGTAATGGACGCAATAAAGTTGAAATCTCCAAACCTTGACGCCTTGCACTCCCACAGGGTTACCAATGGAATAGGAACCCAAATAAACTAAGGGGGGTGTTCATTGCGTGTGCACCTTCTACACTGGAGGATATTAGTTGACAGAGTTCATGCTGACCTGCAAGTGAATACCTTGGCTCTAGAAAGTCATTGGGCTACTGGGTACTTAGCAAACCAGCGTGGAAATAAGTTCCCTGCCAGCGTGTTAGGGATATCTCTGCCAAGAATGCGAGACACACACTGACCACCTCCATGTCGTCTCAGTTTCGTCTGGTCAGAAAGTACATTCTGGTCATCCTTGACTTGCTGGCGCCGCATATCAACTTCAAGGACAAAGGGTGATCGTTGCAACCTATTGAGATCAAATCGGTAAGGCCGATTCGGTTCAAAGCATCAGTCATTTGATCGTGAAACCCTCAAAAAAAAAGGCTCCAAGAAACTGCTGCCGAACCAAGAGGTAAACATTGATGATTTTGAATAGATCATGCAGTTGAATAGTTCATGCAGCTCACACCTTGTACGGACATGGGTCGCAAGCAATGTTGATATGGCCCTGCCATGAACTGCAAACTGCAACATCACTAGAGTTTCCCGTTTCTTGTATAGTGCCGCATCTATATTGTATGAATTTATGTAATGGGAATCATAAAGGAATGGTCCAAGATGATTCGTGTTCTCTTTCAGCAGAGCAGCTGGAGGCAGCAGGCATTGTGGTTATTTGATGCTCAATGCCTTGGCCCCTCTCTGTTGGGTCTTTAAGCTCTCTGCCATTCACCCTCATCAAGACAATCCTCCAACTCCTCACTAGGAAGAATGGAGGTCATGGTCAGAGTCAGAGGCGAAAAGGAGACATAAAGAATAAGCCTAAGCTTTCAAGAAATAAAGCATTTCATTCCGTAAATTGTGACGAACATGCTCTGAAACACACAAGCTGTCCTCACGACAGCACCAGGCCCAGTCAGACACGGGCGTCTGATCTGGCAGAACTACCCTGCCGGGAACGCTGAGGCAAAAGTGCACGAAGAGCTGAGCTGGATTCCAAAACTCTAGAACAAGACTACATGAGTTTAAGATGGCTCAACCATAGGCACAGGTCGCTTTCCTCGACTAATCATAAGACATCAAAATTGCTGAGTGTCTCACTCGGAGTTGGGCACCAGACGCGCACGGTAGTAAAAAATCTTCCGGCCCTTCAAGAGAACAATGTCATGCAACAGGTAATTTCAGCGCTTTCTGCTTCCACATCCCGCCTGGATCCCTGGGTGATAGTTGCTGAAGCGCTTTCTGTAGGAGAACGGGCAAGCACCAACCTTGGAAATCTTTGGACGGTTTGGTCCTCGCTGTGCAAAAACTTTTTGGTACTGTGCAGACTGTGCTGGGATTTGCATCCTGAGGCTGACACAAGATAGGGCCGGAAGTCTGCCCCTAGCTGTGGCTCTGCCAATCCCAACCTGGGAGCAGGCTCAACCCCTGTGAGCAAACAATGTCTAATACTAAGTTGGAACATTGCGAGTACTGCAGGTACTCTAGGCAGCTGGCAAAGTTTCTCGCATTCCCTGGTCTTGAAGCCTGTCCGCCTGCCAAGTTATGCTTGTAACCATTTCAGTAACCATTTCCAAGCTTGGGGAAAAGAAAGTGGGGAAGCGTGGTGGTTGCCACACATCAAGCAGCTTGCTGTACTCGGTGCACTGGTTCCTCAGTGAACTGACTTTCCTGACCCTAAAATTATGTGTGAAATTCTCATTCTGGCCTGGAGTTTGCCTCATGCCTTTCGCCTTCACCCTTGGGGGATGAGTAAAAAATGCTCACCTCACAGAAGCTTGTGAAATGTCACCCAACCGCATCTGTCTAAACCCTTTCCTTCCACAACCCGAGACGGCCAGTAGCTAGAAGCTGTGCGACTACATTTATGATTATAATACCTTTAAAAAGCATGAAAACTTTACGCGCAAGCACCCCGTTTCGCCCACACCCTGCTTGACTTGGGACGATAATAAGGGTAGCAGTAGGGAATTTAAAAAAAAAAAAAAACACCCCCGTGAAATTTTACATTCAATTGGGAAGATCAACAAAGGTATTAGGGAATATACGAAAATCCCACCCCGGTCAAATTTTACATTCAGTTGGGAAGATCAACAAAACTATTAGGAAATATAAGAGTCCCACCCCCGTTAAATTTTACATTCAATTGGGAAGATCAACAAAGGCATTAGGGAATATAAAAAGCCCACCCCGTTAAATTTTACATTCAATTGGGACAATCAACAAGGGTAGTAAGGAATATTAACAAGTCCCACCCCCGTTAAACTTTACATTCAATTGGGACTATCAACAAAGGTATATGGCATTAGGGGTTTTAAAAAAAAAAAACTCGTTAAACTGCACATTCAACTGGGAAGATTAACAAAGGTATTAGGGAATATAAAAGTCCCACCCCAGTGAAACTTTACATTCAATTGAATTGGGAAGGTCAACAAAGGCATTAGGGAATACAAAAGTCCCACCCCCGTTAAACTTCACATTCAGTTGGTAAGATCAACAAAGGCACTGAGGAAAATAAAAAGACCACCCCCGTAAAACTTTACAGTCAATTGGGAAGATCAACAAGGGCAGTAGGGAATATTAAAAAGTCCCACCCCGTCAATCAAACTTTACATTCAATTTGCAAGATCAACAAAGGTATTGGGGAATATAAAAGTCCCACCCTCCTTAAACTTTACATGTAATCGGGGAGATCAACAAAGGCAGTGATGGTGATGATGATGATGATGATGAGGAGGAGGAGGAGGAGGATGGTAATGATGATGAAGATGAAGATGAAGATGATGATGATGATGGTGTGATGATGATGATGATGGTGATGGTGATGATGATGATGATGATGATGGTGATGGTGATGATGGTGATGATGATGATGATGATGAGGAGGAGGATGATAATGGTGGTGGTGATGATGATGATGAGGAGGAGGAGGAGGATGACAATGGTGGTGATGATGGTGATGATGATGATGATGATGATGATGATGATGATGATGATGCTGCGGAACTAACCCGCACAGGTCCCTATGCTGTGCGTTCTGACCTAGCAAGTTAACTATAGACTATAATGCTAAAATACCCATTTTTACCACGCTTTCAGCTCATACAAGGAAGGCGGGCCAACAGGCGCGGGCAAAACGAGGTGTTTGGCCGTAACGTTACTAAGTTTCCAATCATCAGGAGCCGTACCAAGAATGAGACAATCATTGTCGTGAGAGAGAAGGGTTTTTTTGATTGGATGAGGGAGGAGGCGAAGTGTTTCCACGGGGAAGTTGTCAGGGCCAGGAGCATTTCAAAGTTCATACATAGCAAAGGGATGTAAAGGGAGAGTCGAGGAGGGGCTGTGGTGGAGCCAAAGGATTTTCAATGGGATCGGGAGGAGTATGGTTCCAAACATTGTCGCGGAGGTGTTGAGTAAGGATGGTGGATTTCTCAGATTTGAGGGCAGGAGGCTCTCCATGGATATCTTAAGATGTCTACCCTAGAAAAAAGACTATGCCTTCCAGAGAGGCATTGGTATCGCCTAGGCAAAGTTGTACTTTCTCTCCTCGTCGCTGATCTGAAAGATGCACCCTGTAAATCTCTGATAATACGAAGGATTGGATTGGATTGGAGGAGGACGTCAACCTGCTCCTCAACGAAGTGAAGTAGTTAAGACGCCGAAATTGCCAACGCAGAGCCGGAGCTCTTTGCACTGAACAAACCGGAGGGCAAGTTCAAGCCAAGAAAAGTACCACCCATGCAGCTGAAGAAGCAGCAAACGCTCATTCAAACGACCTGTTTTGACGTGGTTCGTGTTCAAGCAAAACTTGCCAGTAGGGAAGAGAACCCTTTAGTTGCGCCTTCCAAGCTTCTCCAGCCCAAACAACTGCCTCTCTGTGTTGTGACAAACAAGTAGCAATCACCTGCCGAAATTGACCTGTAAGATCAGCCGCGCTAGCATCCGCTTTGGCATTGAGCATGCGGCAACGCAAAACATCAAGCCACCCTTCGGGTGGGCGCCATCGAGGAACTTTATTATGCGAGGGAATCCAAGCACAAGAAGAGCCATCAACCAAAAGCATCCTGATATAATGCCAGTATGGAAAAAGATCTCCACCCCACTGACCAAGCCGCATGCCACGATGAAGACGTTGCACAAGAGCTTGGTTGTCAATCAGCAAGCGCACCGCTCTGTTCGCTTCATGGGAAGCCAAGCAGGCTTGAAGAAGTGCACCTCTCTCGCCCGCAGCAGGAGTTTGCTCGAAACCATGCACCAACCCATTGACCGTGGGCCCGAGATGTGCCGCCACAGCCCAGCTGGCACGCTGCCAAAGTTCGCACCCTGGAGCGATTGCGCAACTTCCATCCAAGCCCAAAGTCGGCGTTTGATGTGGGTCAAACTGTTGTAGAAAAGCCACCAGAATGGGGTCGGCCGTCATATCTTCAAATGGAAGAACAGCTGGAGCATCCACAAGAGGAACAAGCAACCGCCTTTCAGTTGGAGTTTTGAGATCACCATGCCAAGGATTTGCCTCGCAGTAGAAAGTGAAATGCTCACGATCAGGAGAGCTCAAACCACAATCACACTGCAAGTCGACTTCCAAACGTTGAGTAACTCTCCCATCCACTGCTGCACCTGTCAAGACTCTGCGACCACAATAGTTCAAATCATGCGCCACATTGGCCTGGAATTGGAACACAGGCAACTTACCTTCAGGTAAAGGACCCTCCGTTTTGGTGTCCTTCGTCCACATAAAAGCCAGCCATGCTGCAGCAGCAGCTTTGTATAAGCTTGAAGAAGACATCCACCCTGGTTTCAAAGTCCCCACGGGAGTGATCCACAAACCACCCTCAACACGCCAATTCCAGTCTTTGCAAACAGTATTCCACCTTGGGCCTGGCGAAACAGCGGCGGGCACACCTATGGCCAAGCGGCACTGGCGCTGCCATTCAGCCCGGGCTGCAGCAAAGTGAAGCGCAAAAGCAGGATGCAAACGCGGTGTGCCCAAAGAGTTCCAGAACAGCAATCTACTGCGACCTGGGGCAGGCTTGCGCCCCCAGACCGCCGCTTCAATACTGGAGGTCCAACTCTTGATGGTATCAACATCATAGTGGTGAAAAGCTCCTGTCCATGCAAACAAAGAGATCACCAACTGTCCCAGCAAGGTCTTGCGGGTGCCCAAACGTTTCGCTGCCAACCTGATTTTGCGACACCTCTCCTGAATGTCAAAGGAAAGCTTCTCTGCATTAACACAAGCACCTGCACGCTCCAAATTGTACTGAATACCCAGAAGCGTGAACTTGCTGCAAGGAGCCCCCAACACGTCCTGTATCTGTGACAGCTGAGGCGTCAAATGTTGCTTGGTTGTGAAACTATTTAACTTGTCAGGATGGAGTTCCATGCCCAGAATTGCATCAACCTGCGCACCTGCCTGCATGGCGTTGGTGACCACGTGAATGCCGTTGACACCTTTCTTCCACATTGTGCGGTCATCCAAATAAACTGCAAGAGAAACACGAGGCTCTTGCAAAAGAACGAAGCGCACCCAGACTACCATCACCGCATTGAGTAAGGCTGGGCTTGCCGGGCAGCCCTGCAGCAGCCCCCGCCGAGCACAAATGGGCTCTGAATGGAAAATGCCTTGCCAGGCAAACCACCTGCGTTGGTCAGTGTAAAAATTTTCCACCATGTCACACAAACTGGCCGGAGCACCCAACCAGCGCCAAATAGCAAGTGCAGTCTTTGGACAAACTGAATCGAAACACCTACGGATATCGGCCTTGCAGCCAACAAAATCAACTCTTGAACGTTTGGCAGCACGAATGTCTTCGTAGAGCACTTCATGAACATCCATAATGCCTCTTCCTGGACGGCCGCCACAAAGCTGAGGCAAGGCCCATTCTTGTATCCATGGTCGGAGCTTTTGCAAAGTTGCACTCATGCAGATGCGCCACAGGACCGTCGTGATGGCAAGTGGGCGCAGGCCCCCGGCCGCCTTTGGAATCAAGGCTATGCGAATATCTTTCCACATTGTAGGAACTTTCGCACACTGCATGCACGCCGACCACAAGACTGCAACGTGATTCCAAAAGGACTCCGGCAACTTGCACAAATGAGCCGCAGTCCAAGCATCCATACCAGCCGCTTTTTGTTTAGCTTTCAACGCAGAACGCGCCAAATCAGCCCCAACCACTTGAATGCTTTCAGGCGTGACTGGGTCGACCTGATTGTTGAGCTGCAAACACAAATTTGAAACCTGGTCTAAATGTGGGAGGTGGTCCGGATTCCAATGCGTGTGCCACGCAGCTGCCTCCTGTCTTGCCTTATCTTCAGGCAAAATAGGACCATCGACCTGTGTTGCTGTAGGTGGATCAGGTGGTTTTTGCTGAACCCACTTCCCCAGTTTCGCAACATTTTCTTGAATGTCCTCTTTCCAAGCAGCAAGGCGTCGCTGAGACGCCTTTTTGGCCACCTCATCTGCAAGAAGCAAAGCGGCGGGAGCCAAACCACCATCAGATAAAGAAAACGCAGTAAGAGACGAGTGCAAAAGCGG